GACATATTTATCACAATTAAAATAAATTTAGTCGGGCGTCGCTATATGAAAATTATACAGAGGGGGGTAGGGGGTAGTATAGAAAGAACATAAAGAGAGACAGTGCTGCGTTTTTTTGTGGAACTTAGGAACTCGGTCCCGCATGGTATATAAAACCTACCATGATCATAATAGTTAATGTTACGTCGGCTTGGTGACATGGAACCGGTTCAGGTCATGTTTAGGAACTTTACGCACTACTGAATTTTAATAACTACAATCACTCTGGTAATCCCTCGTTTAAAGTGCCGATCGGGGACAATGTACGAGAATTCACATTAGGATTACGTTAACTCGCGCGTTCTTTCTCTGAGCGTACGCTAGTGGACGGACTGCTTTGATTATGTTACATCGTCCGCTCAACCTGTGCATAAAATGGCATCTAGAGTACCTCTAGCCGCCCTTAGATACAGCGATGATGTACATGTAGTACAGTATTAATACGTCACTTCACGCACGAATCGAAGCTCTCAAGACACTCAAAGGACCAGTATCGGAAGTGGACGGAGGCTGTCGTCGCCGCCTCGTTCCCGTCTTGTCCCTCACCACGTTTCTCTGATATTCGAATTATCGGAAGTTGTCACTTACAATAACAGCCGTTATCCCAGCGAACGCTCCACCAATCACAATGCATAAATAAAAGAGTGGTGCAGCACCAATAGGGAAGAATAGAATAACAAAGGCAGCGAGCCTTTTGCTTCGAGGCCATGAAGCAAGATAGGGTCGCAACCTGCGGCCCGCATCACAAGAGAGGCGACGCCTGGACTGTTTTGCCGTATGAGGGAGGCGATGCTTGGATAGTGTACGCTGTGCTGTCGTGCGAGGGAGGTGATGACCCGTAGATGATATTGAAAGGAGGATTCTGGGTTTAAGTGAGCCTTGTGCTAAACATGGTGGTGCGTGTAAATGGGACATGCGCAGAATGACGCGCGAATGCTAGGTGGAGTGAAGTGTATTGCTATGCTAAGCTATTGTCCGAGTGTGGTGATACCTGTACAAGGATAACAATAAGCGCTAGAGCGTGTGAAGAAGCTACATGAGGAAGAAACTCCGGAGGGAGCGACACGGTAAGCCTACGGCAAGATTAAAACGAGGGAAAGCGAGATGAATGAGCAGATGACTCGCTAGTGAAAAGGCAATGCATGCGTAAAAACCTAGTGAAGAAATATCTAATACGAAACACTCACTTGTGACTGCGGTGTATTTAGTCTTATGTAGTTTATAGTCTCCAATTGAAGCTTTCACTCAGTGTGTGGAGGGTATGCTGTGACTGTTTGCGCTGAGCCTCCAGAATGCAGACTGCTTCATCTTCATTAACTTTCTATTCCTGTGCGATCAGATTAACTCGATCAATAATTCTTTTGCGCCTGAAGTAGAATCGCTTTTCGGCTGGATTATTTCGCCAATTGGATCCGTGTAGCTTCTCCAATTCGCGTACAGCAGGACTACCATTAATTTCCGTCGTCCACTCCTGCCATACTTGATGAACCGTTTTGAGAGATCTCGTGAGCTTGTACGTCGTGGGTAGCCGCGAAGTCTGAGCTGGAGCCGAGGCTGCAGCAGTTGGTGTGTTCAAGTCCAAGGTCAAACGTACGGTGGCGACACCAGAGGTAAGCTGTGAAATCGTATTCTTAATGTGATTGCCGACTTCTCTGAGTTTGTTATCAATGTGTGCCAGTGTTTGTTCTTGCAGCTGTCGTAGATGTTGCATTAAATCTGGGATAACGTCATTCAAATGATCCGCTTGCGGTTATTTCTCCGTGAGCATTTTGGTTTTCAGCTCAGCTGCGAATGGGTTAAACTCGCTGCAGCTAAATGGAGGGTGAGCCCATAGTTTATGGGTCGGGTAAAGGTCACGCAGCAGAACCGCGTCATGTAGGACAACTATACGAAGGTACAGTAGTAACCCCAAGAAGCCCCCGGTTGCTACGTTGGGTGCTGACTGTTGTTTGTATGACGCCATATAGAAATCGAGAAAGGGAAATACGCCACGCTGAAGCTGCTCAGGAGGAAGAAGAGCTGCCCGCTCTAACGAAAACGACCGTTTGTCAGGGGGAAATCCTGCTAGAGACCGCATCGCTTCTCGTGGCAAAGCGCTCAGGCAACAGCCGTCCATTGCGGATGCATTCCACCTTCCTAACCGACGAATTTGTGAATCTGTAGCACCTGCTAATTCGACCATCCTTGCTCCTGAACCCCGTGCCGCATGTGTCTTAGCCTTCGTATGCATGCCTAATGCTGTGAACGCCTTTATAGTGGCGTCGTAATGCGATCGGTATGTCATTGATTTTGTTGGATTCTTGTTTGACTTTAGAAGTTTGATGTCGTACCAGTCTTCAGGGGCCAGAAAGTTAGGTAGCAATTCCATTTGCACACACCAGCGATAAAACAGATACAGGGTCATCTGTCTCTTTTTTTTCTAGACAGCGCTATTTGAGTGAGTGCCCCAACTGAGCAAACTTCAACATTGTTGTGCCTAATACACGAACCAAACTCACGACGAATAAGCTGGTTTGTTTCCCCCTGCTCCATTATCATGACTAGTGCCCGGTAATCTGTAAATTATTCGTGTTCCAGAATTACACTAAAAAGGTCCAAATTACTGGCAGACTCGCCTCTTAAGAGACATGCGTGGCACAGGAAATGACTCATCCGATTCCGTAGATCAGCACCTGTGTTCAGGCCCATATAATAACGAGAAATCGCAACCAGATCGGCTGTGGTGCAGTACTTATCCAGGAGAGATCCGACGCCTCGGTCAGCATATTCGCTTTTTTTCGTGCTTTTCTCGCTTCAGCGCTGAAAGTAGTGCTTTAATCAAGCTGTTGCGTGGATGAGGGAGTGAATTCACACCTCTAGTCTGCTGATCGCTGTACAAATCTGACATAGCGCTCACGTATATCTCTACAGTAGCAACTCCAATCTTTCGCTGTGAATTTTCGACACGAACTTCGCGATCTACCACCTCTTCACGTAGAAATAGATGTAGCTTCGATGCCGTAACTTGGTAGCGTGTAGTTTTCATGAAAAATTCTTGTGGTCACACCATGCCTTGAACTTGCGCTCTTTTGGCTCGTACGCTCGAGCTGTATTTGCAGGGCGGGATTCACGACACCGGTCCAGCGTTGCGTCGGCACTCTCTTCTTTGCTCCACCTGAAGCAATGGCACCTCTACAGCTAGATCCAGAAATGGAACTTTTGCCTTCTGTAACAGAAATACATCTACCTTCAAAACTGTAGTAGATATTTTTTATGGGCATTTTGGAAGGTTTTAACTATCCACGCTGAACGGTTTTTACTGAGGGACG